CACACACACACACACACACACACACACACACACACACACACACACACGCAAAAGCAAACAAACAAAACACCCTGCCTTTATTTACAGCATCAGTACTATATCTAAAAAGAAAACACTTCTTTTCATGGCAACACAAGCTCACTTAAATTCAGAATGAAAAGAATTGCTAGGAAAATACTTGCTGGTCTCCTTTTACTGAAGCCTTCATTTATTTTAGGTCATCTAACAACGTATGGTTTGATTCTCAAACAAAAAACTTAGTCAAAATAAACAAATAATCCAGAAGGACCACACTTGCGAAGATACTCAATTCTTGCACCTTACTTCTGCTTTTCCTGTTGCTGTATTCAAAAGTAACTGCACCTATAAATATACCTTGACATTTTACATAAAGCATCCTTTTACAGAAACTTAAAAAGCAATTTAAGTAATGGCATGATCTTAAAAAAAAAAATCACTTGGTAAAAATAACTGCCTGGGCCCACTGTACCTTTACCTAGGAATCTGTTACCGTTAATAAACTATAAAATCGTTACCAAATCTTGTGTTTAAATATTCTCTTTCAAGACTCAGTTCCTTAAAATTAACTAAAAATGTTTATACGAGAACAAAAGCAAAAAATTTTTATCTTAAAACAAGACAAAGCACCTTACTCCCCTTGGGAGAATGAAAACTTCCCTGAGCAATGCTGACCTCCAACACCGCACTTGTGTGGAGTACTACCAACTTTAATAGGATGGCAACCAGCTCTGGAGCCCATGGAACTGGCTGGCACCGATTAGTCAGCTGTCTTTCCCCTCAAGTTCTCTTCAAAGCCTTTTACCCAAACACAAGTATTAGTAAGACAATCTCTCGGACATTTTTAAATAAACTAAACAAGAAGTATAAACACTGCTCCAATACAGCTTGTGCAGTGTCTGGAGTTGACTCTTTTATTTTGTCACTGCCCCAGCTTTACATCAGTTTTGCTACTTAGTAACAGCTCAGGCCAAAATACACCTAAGAGGATTCACCTCAAAACCAACAATGGTAAAACCCAGACGTTGTGCAAGAGAGAGTGTGTTCTTACACAGATAATCAAGAACCAAAACCTGCCAGGACCACACAGCTGAAGTCAGAAGGCTCTACAATGTTCTACCACGGAAACACCAAGCAAACTAACGTGGCCAAAAGTGACCTACTTTGCAATCTGTGAATCCATGAATACCCAGGCAAATAACAAGATAATGAAGAGGGCCACCACCCTGACCCTCCAAATCTTATAAGCATATAAAGGATACAATTAGTACTGTATAATGAACTTTAAGATATGATTGTGTCTAGACTCACAAGTATCCAACTTTAGGTTCATCTCAGCATTTGATTTACCAAGAAAAGAAATCAAAATTCACTCACTTTATATAGTATCTTGCACCTTCAAAAGTATATGCCTCTTCCCAGCCGGTGGGTAAATCTAAAAAACACACATTTCAATTAGTATTACTTCAGTGGGACTACAAAATACGCTTAAACCCATCTTACCTGTCTTCAGGATTACCTACATTCATTTAAGGAGGTGTCTACCCAAAATCTCAACTCACCAAATCAACAATCATTATTACAAATTAAAAATAATACAACATTATTAGGAAGATGACAATTCAAATTTAAAGCCACCAAGAAAGTCCCAGCAATATTAGAGGTGACCGGACATGATTATTCCCTTTAATGATCAGGGTGGAAAAGGAATATGCTCTGGCACCTCCCCAAAATAAGTCCTCTAAATCCAGGTAAAATACCCATCACTGATTGGCAAAAACCCCAAACAGGAAGCACTTTGCACTTTTAGGTATATTCTGTCTATTTAAAAATGCATTTTTCAGTGGCATAACCAAATCCGTCTAGGGTTTCATCTAGTATGAAAACTCAAGAGCTTACTTAATGAGTGTAAAACTGACTGAGTACTGACACACTGTGTTTCAGTAGCCTTGACCTTAAGAGATGTGAAGTTTCACAAGTAACCATGTTGGGAATGATTCAGGTGAATGGCTGTATCTTTAATGGGCCACATGGTGCTTATGATGACAAGCGGTTTGGACTTAATCATAACCCATCTCCAAAATGAAGTCACCGATGTGTGCACAAAACCAGAGCCCAAGCAAAGTAAAGCAAACCAAAATAAATAAAATCACATCAGTGAATAAAATATTTCTGGCATGTGACTGTTATTCAATCTGTGAGAGTAATTAGAAGACATTGGTGTCACAAATAACCCAAATAAGCAAGAAATAATGCCACAAAACAATTGGGTTCAGTTACTTTAATCCCATATTGTCTTCCATGAAATAAACTCGTCCATATCCACAAAAGCAACGAGGCTATCAAAGTTGCAATATGTGTATAAAACAGGCTGAAGCTAAAGACTGCACCGGGAGTTAGGAAACATGAGGGTTTATTAGTCAGAAATGCCCTAAAAATGTAACCTCATCACGCTTGCTACAGCAGCCTTCCCTTGCCTCCTCCACGTTTTTGCAAATTTGGACACATTATTAGTCACTTCACCGAACTCCGGCGTTTGACAGAAAAGGCAGGCTTGTTCACCCTTCTGGCAACGTGAACAGGAGATTCTCAGAACCTCGGAGTTGGAGAGAAAAGTACTGAAACCCGCCTCACCTTCGACCCAAACTGTTCTCAAGCCTTTGCACTAGCCGGGAACAGAGGCGGGCCGGCAAGAGAACACTCGTACGTTTCAGGCAAAACAAGTTGGGCGAATGTAAACAAAGAATGACAAAAGAAAGCCAGACCAGCACTAAAACACCGCAAGCCCTCCTCCAGCTCAACTCAAGCTTGACATTCAAGAAAGCTATCAAAGCAATCCGTGATGCGTTTCCCCGCGGAACTGGGGCCCGAATGCCCCCACGCGGGACCGCCCTGGCTCGCCCACCGCCTGCTGGTGGTACGTGGAGCCTAGCAGCGGCTGCCGGGGACTTTTGAGCCCGGATCACTGGCTGCAGCGCCCGCTCCAGTGTCCTGACTCGGGCTGCTCCTCCGGTAGCCGGAGAAGACGCACCGGCGTTTGGGTCACGGGGGTTTGGGGTGGGGTGGGGGTTACCGCAGCACCCCTAACTCCTCCATCAGTCACCTACCCACAAGTCCCACCTAGGAGAAGTAGGAGGTGGAGGAGGAGGAAGCTGCTTGGCAGAAGGCAGTTCTCTGGGGAGCGGGGCGAAGATGCAGGACCACCTCACCGCGGGGGTGCTGGGGTACGGGAAGCACGAGGGGGAGCGGGTGAGGACACCCTAAAGAGTGCTGGGGGCTGAGACGGGGGCGATCCCGGAGAGAGGGGCGTCGGCCGTCCTCGGGGGGCGTCGGGGCAGGGATGGGGACCGGGGCGCAGGAAGGGGGCGCCGTCTCCAAGTGCTGATGAAAAGGCGGAGAAGAAAGGCGCCCCGGGACTCACTCGCGCGGAGCCCGGAGCACCTCCAACCCCGCCAGGTGGCCGTGAGCCGCAGCCCCGGCTCGCCCTACCTGTGCTCTGCCGCCGGTGCCCGGTGACCACGGCCTCGCCGGTAACCGGGTGCAGCCAGGTGGTGCTCTTGGCCTCCTCGCTGCAGGGGAGAGAAGGGACAGGCGCTGAGCGGCGTGAGGGGCGACCCACGGGGGCCCCGGCCCGCTCGCTCCCGCCGCCCCTCGGCCGCCCCGCCGCACCTCCCCCGCCCGCT